AAAAATTCTCCCATGGATCATACTCACAGGAATTGCTATTAGCATCTGTCTTCCCAGCTTTGGTGTGTCTGCTTGAATTCTGCTGAGATTTGTTCTGCTCTTCTCCAGTGAGTAGGGCCTTTATTTCAGAAGGRATTTTTCCTTGGTCCATTGCCATGCACCACTGCTTGTACTGAAATATATAAAAATGTTAAAAGACCCAGTAGCTCACACCTGTAATCCCAGTTGAAACAAGAGGATCACAAGTTCAAAGCCAACTTAGTGAGCTCCTCTCTTACAAAATAGAAAGGACTGGGACGTAGCTCTGCTAAAGCACCCCTGGGTTCAATTCCTAGTACCTCCACCAAAAAAAAAAAAAAAAAAAAAAGTTAACAGAATTCAGGAACCACTGGTAGAATCCTAGATATACAAACTCCCACAGTTAGAGGTCAGGTTGATTGCTGAGAATCCCACACTCCATGGTATTACTTATTTATCACATTAGATCATATATGAGATTTGTCATCTTTCAGAAGAGGCCAGAAAAACTGCTACTGCACAGTTTTGCAATGTGCTGGAGGGTTGCTCAGATTAAAGAGGTCCCTCTAACTAAAAGAACATGCCCTCATACTATGCCATTAATTAGAATTCATCTCAACTTTTTATAACTGTCACAGTATTATTTCTATCCCAAACACAAAAAATAATTTTAGTAATTACCCTTCCCTCTTTCACAAACAGTCACTAAACATCTACTAGATTGCAGACATATACACTACCATGAGATATAGATGACAGGAGATGTATATTCTACCAGAGTGTATACTATGGACTTTGGGTATATACAAAGGTGAAGCCCTTAAGTAACCTATAATGCAGGTAAAAATACTTTATAGCATAGGTCAAATTCAATGCATTAAAAAAATTAAATGGCTGGGCATTGTGGTGCACACCTATAATCTCAGTGGCTCRGGAGGTTGAGGCAGGAGAATCACAAGTTTAAAGCCAGCTTCAGCAACTTATCAAGGCCCTAAGCAACTCAGTGTCTCAAAATAAAACTGCCTCAAAATAAAAAATAAAAAGGGCTGAGGAGGTGGCTCAGTGGTAAATGCCCCTATGTTCAATCACCAGTATCAAAAAGAAAAAACAATGAATGAATGAAAGAAATGAAACATGTAAAATAGATAAATTCATTTAAACACAAATGGTATCATAATTTGTGCAATTACATATTGTTACACTGTTTTTCACAATTAATATATTATGAACATCCTTCTATACCAGTAAACACATATGTGTCCTGTGATTTTTTACTGGCTACAAAGCAGTCCCATATGTGAATGTAGTATAATTTATTTGACTTAGATTGTTACACATCTGGGTTATTTTCTATTTTTTCCTATCATAAAAAATTCCTCAATGAAACAATCATCTACATTTYGTTCCCACCTAAGAAAATGACTATTTGCCCACAGCATGGCTAACAGATTAATATTCTTTCCAWTTTTTGCCAACTGGATTAACAAAAACTGTTATTTTTGTATACATTTATTTTGCCAAGATGAGATTGGCTTATTTTACTGAGAGAATTTACCATTTCCAGTTCCTCTCGGAGGGCACATATAGCTCTTTCTCGACTGGATACTAACTCTTCCAAATACTGGTATCTCAGCTTTTTTCTGGCCCTGCATTCTCTTGCACTCTGCCGGCTCCTCTCAAGTTTTGCCTTCAAGTCAATTTTGGCTGGCTTCCGRCCACGTTTACCAGGCTTCTTTACTTTGCCTCCAACCACCTTCAACAAGAGAGAGAAGAAATAATTGCTTTTTCTCTTAGTTTATATAGCAAAGTGGCCATGGATACATATTAGCAAAGAGAACATTTACAAATCATAAATAAGTGAAGCTTCTGGAACTAAGAAAGCCCAATTCCATCAAATGTCTTCAGGTCTTTGTCTCTCTTTTTTTCTGATACTTTTGATACCATGAATGTGAGAAAAGATATAACATAAGCTTTTATTATTTATTCAATAATAAGTTTAAAATAGTTAAACAGTAAATTTTATAAACCATATGGAGATGAATAATAAAAAACTAAAATATTGGGGCTGAGGTTTTGGCTCAGTGGTGGAGTGCTTGACTTTAGAAGCTGATAATTATACACCTATGAGACACTGGATTTGAGCCTCAGCACCAGGTAAGAATTAATAACAAATAAAATAAAGGTATTGTGTCCATCTACAACTAAAATATATTTTTAAAAACTAAAATATATTTTTAAAAACTAAAATATCACCACTAAATATTTTGCTTATAAAGAATTTTTATTGCCTTGAAAAAACTATACTGAAATAAGCAAAACAACATTCAAAATTACTAGTTCCTTATGATCTCAATGTTATAACAAACAGATGAAAAGAAGTTAACAAGGTCAGTGATGATTTCTCTGATATGTGATAATAGCTTTTATAAGATCTTTTTTATGATTTTGAAATGTTTAAATTTAGAAAAATACACGTATTGAATTTTATATTTTATATATATATATAAATATATATATATATATATGTATATGTAAATATACATCCTAAGCATTTGAGCTATAAATTCCCTCTTCAAATTGCAACCCAAAGGAACACACAGAAAGTCCAAGAAATCTTCAGGAAAATTCTCTTTTGCCTTTAGAAGCTGATAATTATACCCTAAACTGATTTCTACTTGCTCCCACTGGGTGTCACAAAATATCCTCTCACTATCTTTACCTGCCTAGGCACAATTATTAGGTGACTGACAAAATGATTTAATTTTCCTCCTTGTTTAGCTTTGAAACCTTCCCAAGGTCTTATACTATATCTAACTATGCAGTAAAGATGATGAAGTTTTAATTAAACTCATGAACCTAAACTTGCACATCAAGTAAATATGCTTTAAAGCAGTAACCTTGAAAAGGGATGCATTTATTCCAAAGTACTTTTTTTGGAAAGTACTATTGGAACCAGTTCTCATACTGTGTCTCATTATTTTAAAACTAYTCATTAAATTCACAAACAATAYGACTGTCTATCTTATTTATTTGATGAAGTTCTGAATGATGATGAGTTTTTTTCTGAAAATCACCCTCAGAGAAAGGCTGAGGATGTAGCTCAGTGGTACAGTGTGGACTTCACATGCTTGAAATCCTGGGTTTGATCCCCAACACTGCAAATCACTCTCAGAGAATGCAAGTTTTATACCTTCAGTATACTGACAGGAATACTGCTAAGGCTTTAAAAGCAATTCTAAAAGAGAAGATGCAAAATTCAAATCACCAGCAAATACTTAAATAAATGTAAAAGGCTTCCCAGGTAGCAAAACTCTAAGTCAATATTTATTTGGATACAAAAACCTTGATTTATTTGTTCAAAATCATTATTAACATCATACACCAACAATGCCAAATACCCTATAAAGATCAAATCAATACTATGTATAATGGTTAGTCAGAAAACAATATCTAATCTATATTTATTGCAGTGCAAGGCATYAAACTCAGGGCCTTGCACATGCTAGGCAATGCACACTCTGCCACTGAGCTACATCCCTAGCCCTAAGAAAACAAATTTTAAATGTCAATCAGCCACATTTACCAAACCCCACTCATAACATAACGGCTAACCATTTTATAGTATAAGTCTGAAATGAGACAATTACTTCCAGGTCTGGGGGGGGGGGAAAGAGTATCCTTTCTACCATCATCTTAAAAGATAGCTGCTTCAGTGGCTCTGGAGGCTGACACAGGAGTAGTGAGAGTTCAAACCCAGCCTCAGCAACTTAACAAAGCCTAAGCAACTCAGTGAGAAAAAAAAAGGCGGAGGGGGGGGGGGCCTGGAGATGTAGCTCCATGGTTAAGTACCCCAGAGTTCAATCCCTGGTACAAAAAAAAAAAAAAAAAAAAAAAAAAAAATGCTGCTTTAGGACTACTCTTAAAGAAATTTAAACTTTTCAAAAACTGGTCTTTTGAAGCTTTTCTATTCTGCATCATCATGTCTTAATACCGATATAACAATATATTCGGGGCTGAGGTTGTAGCTCAGTGGCAGAGCGCTTGCCTGGCATGTGTGAGGCAATAGATTCAATCCTTAGCAATGCATAAAAATAAATAAAGGCATGCTGTGCATCTACAACTACAAAAAAAATTTTTAAAAAAACTATATTCATCAGGAAACTTCTCAAAGCTAAATATTTGATAGCAATTACAGAATGGCCTTGTTGACCCAAATACTACTAATTTTTAAATTTTAAATAATGATTATATCTCATCAACTGCATAATTTTATTAAAATATTTTTAATGCCCTGAATTAAATATACTATTATTACAGTTTTAAAAAGCAGTATATTACAGCATAAATGCAAGTACTAGTAAAATAAATGTATAATGACTTTTAATTTTCTTTCTTTTTTTTTTTGGTACCAGAGGTTGAACCCAGGAGTGTTTAACCACTGAGCCACATCCCTAGCACTTTTTTATATATTATTTAGAAACAGGGTCTCACTGAATTGCTTAGAGTAGAGCCTCACTTAATTGCTGAGGCTGGCTTTGAACTCACAATCCTCCTGGCTCAGTCTCCTAAATCACTGGGATTACAGGCATGCGCCACCACACCCAGCTCTATTCTTTATGTAGTAAAATGAGTCAGCAATTATAACACTATAATCCAATATCTCACATACTATTCTTTTCAATTAACTCAGGAATGGCTGAAGTCAGCAAGAGAACACTGTTATTTCATAGATTTCTTTGATYTTTTAAATCTAACAAAGTCATAAAAATCAAACAACAGTTATAACCCTTTGTTTAGGTTTCATGATAATAAAATATTTGAATTAGAGCTATTTATTCCTTTTTTAAATTATAAAGGTACATTAAATGAATCTATGGTTCCTGTATTTTCTGTCATTTCCTATAAAATTGCATTTAAAACCATGTAACCGCCACTTCTCTAGTTGAACTTTTCTTCAGTAAYACTCTAAATTGTTTTTGATACCAGATAATGTCTGATATGTGTACCAATTTTCAAAAAAGTCATGTGTATAAAAAGGACTATAATAAATCTCTAGTATAAAATATATATGAAAGCAATTTGTAAAAATATTAGACAAATGTTGGTTAGTATACTAATTGCCTTTAACACCTTAACTTTTAGTATTTCATAAGCCATAAAGATTGAGGAATAGAGAAGGAATGTTAATTAGGACTTAAGAATCAGAAACTAAAACTGAAATCAACCCTGAAAATTCCTTAAATATCTCTGGAGCATGTGGGAGTAGSGGTGTATGTCTGTAATCCCAGTAGTTAGGGAGTCTAAGGCAGGACTAGTTCAAAGCCAGCCTCAGCAATTTAGCAACGACTTTAGCAACTTAGAAAGACCCTGTCTCAAAATACAAAGGGTTGGGGATGTGGCTCAGTGTTTGAATGCCCGTGGGTTCAATCCCCCATACTAAAAAATAAAAATCACTGGACCAAAAAATACATTCTTCAAATATTCACAAACTCATATATAACTACATTTGTCCCTCTGCTCTCTCCTTATATGTATTCTGTGAGGAAGATTTTAATATGGCTAAATGAAAGTATTGATTTTTATGTACCAATRCAAACTCCAAGAACTATGAAAAAAAAACAAACATTTAGCTTTTCTAATATTTTAATTTCTATTGACTTAAAGTCATATGATAATTTAAATACCTGGCTTTAAAACAGTGTACCTCTCTACCACTATCCATTTTGCCTCTTTTTCCACCCCAAACACATTAGTGAGCTAAAGATAATAGGCCCTAAGGAAACACTCAACAGGACCTCAGTCCATACTCTCTACCATCAAAAAAAGAAACTTGCTAGCCACTTTTTCATATCTTCCAGA